CGGAGGTTGCAGTGAGCCGAGATCGCGCCACTGCACTCCAGCCTGGGAGACAGAGGGAGACTCCGTCTCAAAAAAAAAAAAAGAATTTTTTCATAATAGGAGCCAAAACTGGCTCTAGAAGGGCCTGCCCTGCGATCTTTGCAGATAGTATTGTGGAGCAGAATGTCCATGTGGTGCAGGGGACAGAGTTAGAGCAGAGATTGCCGTTGATTTGGAGGGTTTGATGGATCATCTTTCCTTCCTAGGGAACAACCTCTCGCCTGAACAGACACAGATGTTTTGCTCAGCAGCTTACTGACTGTGTTCTTGTGAGGGTGTGGTAGGCTGTCATTTGCCGTTGCAGTACTCACAGACCACATTACCTGAAGTCTGAGGCCATCTTACTGCTGGCCCAATTGCTGAAAGAACAAGTTTCGAGAAGCTAGTCGAGCAAACAGTGGAGACCACAGGGGCTGGGTCCTTGTTACATTATAAGGCTTTCCCCTGGGTGAACTCTTCAAAGCTGCTGTCAGTATTTCTTATGGATAGCTATTAACCAACAATGCCTGGATTTTAGGCATCTCAGGAAGGTCCAGATCCCTGGAAGGAATCCATTTCAATGGATTCCTACCCTCTTTACTTAGAGAAGGTAGAAGACTGGATCTGTGTGTCCTCAGTTTTATCCTTCCTCAGGGCCCAGTCCCTACTCTGGAAAGTGAAGATGAAGCTGGGTTCACAGCTCCTTCTTTGGAACCCTTGGAGCTAGATGTATTTTGGAATTCTAGCTTAAGAGAAGTCACGTGGGGTCTGGGGAAGCACCCTGTATTTAAATACATTAATTCTGCACTAAGTAGGACAAAGAAAGATTATAAATGTCCTCACAGGTGAAAACAGCTGCAGCGTGAGTTTTGGCACCACACTGGTAGAAAACACTTGGTCTTCAGACTGTTTTGTACCTGGGGGAATTGCAGAGTAAGGGATCTTGCCCACCTGCCCTTCTTACCTGTGGTGAGGATGAAATGAGATCATTGCAGATAAATGTTCCTGGCATCCTGCAGGGAAAGCACTTGTTCAGTGTTGGCTGCTGCTGCTGTGGTCTTAAGAGATAAAATAGACTGTCAACGAATAAGAGAACGCCTACCCACAGAAGAGAAGGCACTTCTGTAGGTTTTTGATATAAACAAGCTGTTAGAGGCAAAGGCTTTAATTTTCAGGTCATGAGTTGGCTCTGATGGGAAAGGCAAATCCTGCCTCTTATGGTATCTGTCAAAATTTCAGTGCTGAGAGAAAATTATTCAAAAATATGTATTTCTGGCTGGGCGCAGTGGCTCACGCCTGTAATCTCAGCACTGTGGGAGGCTGAGGTGGGTGGATCACAAGTTTAGGAGATTGAGACCGTCCTGGCTAACACGGTGAAACCCCATCTCTACGAAAAATACAAAAAAAGTAGCCGGACACGGTGGCATGCGCCTGTAGTCCCAGCTACTCAGAAGGCGGAGGCAGGAGAATCGCTTGAATACGGGAGGCGGAGGTTGCAATGAGCCGAGATTGTGCCACTGCACTCCAGCCTAGTGCGAGACTCCGTCTCAAAATAAATATATATGTATGTATTTCTAACTGCAGAGGTTTTTTTTTTTAAATGTAGTTTTAAAGCAAGTGGCAGGATTAGGATTAATAATAGTCTGTAGGAGCAGTGATTTCTGATAGAGGTAGAAGTTTTCCTTACTTGACACTAACTCATTTTATTTTATTTCATTTATTTATTTATTTTGAGATGGAGTCTTGATCTGTTACCCAGGCTTCAGTGCAGTGGCATGATCTCCACTCACTGCAACCTCCGCCTCCTGGGTTTAAGCAGTTCTTCTCCCTCACCCTCCCAAAAACCTGGAATTACAGGCAGGCGCCACCATGCCCAACTAATTTTGGGATTTTGTTTGTTTGTTTGTTTTGAGACAGAGTCTTCCTCTGTTGCCCAGGCTGGAATGCAGTGGCATGATCTTGGCTCACTGCAACCTCCACCTCTTGGGTTCAAGCGATTCTTCTGCCTCAGCCTCCTGTGCAGCTGGGACTACAGGCACACACCACCACGCCCAGCTAATTTTTATATTTTTAGTAGAGAAAATAGGGCTTCACCATATTGGCCAGAACTCCTGACCTCATAATCCGCCCGCCTCAGCCACTCAGTGCTGGAATTACAGTGCTGGGATTATGAGCCACCGCACCCGGCCTAATTTTTGTATTTTTGGTAGAGATGGGGTTTCACTATGTTGGCCAGGCTGGTCTTGAACTCCTGGCCTCAACCAATCGACCCCCGTTGGCCTCCCAAAGTACTGAGTACAGGCATGAGCCAGTACTCAGCCCTAATTCATTTTATGTTGAGAAACAGTTTGAGAGTTGAGAAGATAGGAAATTTTATGTGTACATAATAATACTTATTTCCATATGAACATGCCAACCCCAAATAATTACTTTTAAGAAATAATTGTTTTGGCCGGGCGCGGTGGCTCAAGCCTGTAATCCTAGCACTTTGGGAGGCCGAGACGGGCGGATCACGAGGTCAGGAGATCGAGACCATCTTGGCTAACACAGTGAAACCCTGTCTCTACTAAAAAATACAAAAAACTAGCCGGGCGAGGTGGCGGCGCCTGTAGTCCCAGCTACTCGGGAGGCTGAGTCAGGAGAATGGCGTAAACCCGGGAGGCGGAGCTTGCAGTGAGCTGAGATCTGGCCACTGCACTCCAGTCTGGACGATAGAGCAAGACTCCGTCTCAAAAAAAAAAAAAAAAAGAAATAATTGTTTTTTGTTTTTTGTTGAGACAGGGTCTTGCTCTGTCACCCAGGCTGGAATGCAGTGGCGCAATCATAGCTCACTGCAGCCTTGATCTTCTGGGCTCAAGTGACACTCCCACCTCAGCCTCCCAAGTAGCTAGGACTACAAGCGTATGCTGCCATAGCTGACTTTTTTTTTTTTTTGTAGAGACAAGGTTTCGCCCTGTTGCCCAGGCTAGTCACCTTGGCCTCCCAAAGTGTTGGGGTTACAAGCGTATTTGCCTGTAATCCCAACCTGGCGGGGATTCACCTGACGGGGTTTCACCATGTTAGCCAGGATGGTCTCGATCTCCTGACCTCGCAATCTGCCCGCCTTGGCCTCCCAAAGTACCGCCCAAAAGAGGCAATATTTACCTTTCCCATCAGAGCCAACTCATGACCTGAAAATTACAAATAGCCACCCGGCCCAGAAATAATGGTTATACACACTTTTTAATGGAAAACCAAAATATAAAGCAGTTTGTGTTTCAGATTTAGGACGGGGAGAGGGGGTATTATTTGCTTTAACATGGTTTGGAAGCTAACCTCCATCCTTATTTGAATTCCAAGTGGCTCACCTTTCAGGAATTTGAATAGTTTCCTCATTTAACAGAATGATAACTTGGGTGTTCCTTTATCAGAATAGGCTACTGACCTAAATGTTTAAAAATTTTTATTTGGGGCCAGGCTCTGTGGCTCATGCCTGTAATTCCAACACTTTGGGAGGTTCAGGAGAGTGAATTGCTTGCGTCTAGGAATTAAAGACCAGCCTGGGCAACATGATGAAACCCCATCTCTACAAAAAATATAAAAATTAGCTAGACATGATGGCATGAACCTATAGTCTCAGCTACTTGGGAGGCTGAGGCAGGAGGATCATTTGAGCCTGGAAAGTCGAGGTTGCACTGAGCCGTGATCATGCCACTGCATTCCAGCCCAGACAGAGTGAGACCCTGTTTTTAAAAAGTAAATAAATATTTTTTTAATTTTTTAATCTAGTCCTCCTGGTATAGCAAGTTAAACATAACCTGCCTTTCCATTGGTTAATATTTTCTGACAGTCTAATTAAACTGTGGAATCTAGAGGTTTTGATGGCTTTTCATTGAGATAAGGGCCTGCTGGCAATCCCATACCAAAGGTTAGGTAGTCTCAGGTCATTTCCCTGTGACTTGCTTGGGGAAATTAACCCCACTGTCTTTATGTTTAGGCTTTGTCCAGGGATCTGAAACCACTTTGCAATCGACATACTCGGATACCAGCGCTCAGCCCACCTGTGATTATGGTAAGTGTGGGCCTCTGGTGGGAACCAAAGTGTTTTGCAGAGCAGTTCCTTGTCTTCTTAGTTGCCTTTGGCTTTGCTGTCATCCTGTCATGCTTTTTTAAACCTAAACTTGTGTGAAATGGTGTGGCCATTTGAATAGCTAGTGCTTCCCTTTCAGACAGTTATGGGAAAAGTAGCTGTGTTCCTGAGCAAGTTAGGCTCTTTGATAAAAGGCCTGGCTTCACATCCCCATGGGAGAGGTACTGGGAGTCAGAGTGACCAATTAAAGTCCAAAGGAGGGCACAGTGGCTCACGCCTGTAATCCCAGCACTTTGGGAGGCCGAGGCGGGTGGATCACCTGACGTCAGGAGATCGAGACCATCCTGGCCAACATGGTGAAACGCCATCTCTTCTAAATACAAAACATTAGCTGGTCATGGTGGCACCCACCTATAGTCCCAGCTACTCAGGAGGCTGAGGCAGGGGAATCGCTTGAACCCTGGAGGCCGAGGTTACAGTGAGCCGAGATCACGCCATTGCACTCCAGCCTGGCAACAGAGCAAGACTCCATATCAAAAAAAAAAAAAAGTCCAAAGGATTGGTCCAGGAGAGAGCAAGCTGTTAACTTAGTCCCAGCGTAGTGCGTGTCCTTGCTGTGGGAGAGAGGCTGAGTATGTGAATCTAGCAGCTTTCGGAGACTCAGCCAGGCCACCTCAAGCCAGCGGGCTCCACACACACAGAGTTGAGTGAAGATCTCTGATTGAGTTTTCCAGTGTGGACAGAAACACTTAATTAGCTAATTCAGAAGTAGCCACCAGTAGGATTCACAGATGCTGTTTTGTCTGTTTTGTTTGTGTGCTGTGGCAGCCCGGAACTGCTGATAAAGCTGGTCTTTGGTTGTCTGTGACTCTAGGGGTGTCTGTTGAGAAGGAGCCCTCTTTGGAATTAACAAGGATAATGTCTTAGTTACTGAGATGGGTAATTTCTTTTACTACCAAGATCTGGGGAAAGACTGATCCTACACAGCTAACATGCCCTCAGGGATCACTGCCTAAAGGGACTTAAGTAAGCTTCCCAAGTAGCAGCAGCTAGTCCCAGAAAAAGGGAAGACTTAAAGTATTTTGAAATTGGGTGAGAAGGTATCAGGTGTTTCATAAATGAGGAGAAACTTGGTTTGCTTGGCTTCCCTGTCCTGCCCTCCCTGCCTCTTCCTTTCATCAAATATAGTCCCTAATTGCACATCCTTTTGAATTCTTTTCCCTCTGGGTTACGTATTCTGAGTACAAGCCATTTCTCGGATGTGCCGTTTACAAATGTTTTCTCCCAGACTGTGGCTTGTCTATTCTCTTGTCAGTATCGTTGAAAGAATACAAGTTGTTAATTTTGAAGCCGAATTCAATCTTTTCTTTAATAGATGATGATTTTGCTTTTTTATCTAAGAAATCTATAAGATTTTTCTTTTGAATTTTCTTTTAGGTGTTTTAGTTTAAGGTTTTACATTTAGTCTGTGATCCATATTGAGTTAATTTTTCCACAAGGTGTGCAGTATCGGCTAAGGTTTCTTCTTCTTGTATTGCATGTAGATATACAATTGTTCCAGCACCATTTGTTTAAAAAGAAAAAAAAAAACAAACTATTTTTTCTTTCTTTTTTTTTTTTTTGAGACAGAGTCTCACTCTGTCCCCCAGGCTGAAGTGCAGTGGCGCGATCTCAGCTCACTGCAAGCTCCACCTCCCGAGTTCACACCATTCTCCCTCCTCAGCCTCCTGAGCAGCTGGGACTACAGGCGCCCATCACCACGCCAGGCTAATTTTTTTATATTTTTAGTAGAGACAGGGTTTCACCGTGTTAGCCAGGATAGTCTCAATCTCCTGACCTCGTGATCTGCCCGCCTTGGCCTCCCAAAGTGCTGGGATTACAGGCGTGAGCCACTGCTCCCGGCCTCTTTCTTTCTTTCTTTCTTTTTTAAGACAGAGTTTCGCTCTTGTTGCCCAGGCTGGAGTGCAATGGCGCGATCTCGGCTCACCACAACCCCCACCTCTCGGATTCAAGCGATTCTCGTGCCTTGGCCTCCCAAATAGCTGGAATTACAGGCATGTACCACTACGCCCGGCTAATTTTTGTATTATTAGTAGAGACAGGATTTCACCATGTTGACCAGGCTGGTCTTGAACTCCCGATCTCAGGTGATCCGCCTGTCTCGGCCTCCCAAAGTGCTAGGATTACAGGTCTGAGCCACCGCGCCAGGACTATTTTTTCTCTATTGAAATGCCTTTGTACCTTTACTGAAAATCAGTTGGCCATCTACTGTGGCTCTATTTCTGGACTCTTGGACTCTCATTCTGTTCCATTGGTCTATACATCTAAACTTCATTCAGCAGCACAGTCTTTTTGTATTTTTAGTAGAGACTGGTTTCACCATGTTGGCTAGGCTGGTCTCAAACGCCTGACCTCATGTGATCCACCTGCCTCGGCCTCTCAAAGCGTTGGAATTACAGGCCTTAGCCACCGCGCCTGGCCCAGCAATGCAGTCTTGATTACTGGATAGTAGCAATCTTGAAATATTAGTCCTCCAGGTTTGTTCTTTTTTCCAGAATTGTTAGTTTCTTTGCTTTTGCATATAAATTTTAGAATCAGTCTATCAAGTTTTTTAAAAATTCGTGCTGAGATTTTGAGCCAGAGAGCCTTGGGTCTATGGATCTATCAAATCTGTAGAATCTATAGGTTAGTTTGAGATTAGTTTGAGAAAATTGACATCTTAACAATATCAAGTCTTCTGATTCATGAACGCAGTATGTCACTTCACTGATGTAGGTCTTTGATTTATTAGTGTTTTGTAGTTTTCAACACAGATCCTACACATATTTTGTTAGATTTACACACTTAAGTTTTTCATGTTTTTAGTAAATGATACTTTTAAAAACTTTCAATTCATTGCTGATATGTAGAAATTTGATTGCTATTTGATTTGTAGGTTTACCTTGTAATATTTGAAATTTGACTTATAGATTGACCTTGTAATAAACCTTGCTAAGCTCACTTATTCTAGTAGCTCTTTTGTAGATCTTTTTGAGATTTTTTTTACATACGAAATTGTGAAAGAATAGAGATGGATTTATTTTTCCTTCTGGCTTGAATTGCAAGAACAATATAACATTTAAATAACATTTTGAAAAACAGCCAAGATCCTACCATATTAATATTTAATTTTTGTCAGCTTACTAATTTTATGTCGTTTAATACTTTATATGTGGATAGAATTGTGGATCCTGCTTTATTTTATTTTATTTTTTTAAGATATGGTCTCACTCTGTCACCTAGGCTGGAGTGCAGTGGAACAATTTCAGCTCACTGCAACTTCCACCTCCTGGGCACAGGTGGCCCTCCCACCTCAGCCTCCCGCATAATTGGGACTACAGGCATGGCCTACCACGCCCAGCTAATTTTGGTATTTTTTGTAGAGATGGTGTTTTGCTGTGTTGCCCAGGCTGGTCTCAAACTCCTGGGCTCAAGCGATCTGTCTGCCCCACTTCCCAAAATGGTAGGATTACAGGTGTGAGCCACTGCACCTGACTGGTCCTGCTTTATTTTATGTTGGAAGCATTTCCTTGTGCCACATAAGGCACAGTAAATTCTTTTTTTATGCTTACATGATATGTCACTGAGTAGGTAGGCTATAATCTGATTAACTATTACCTTAAAGTTGAGTGTTAAATTGTTTTCTATTTTTGGTCCATAAATATTACATACTGTGACCATGTCCTTTTTTCTTTTAAAAATTGTGTCCTTGGCCAGGTGCAGTGGCTCATGCCTATAATCCCAGCACTCTGAGAGGCTGAGATGGAAGGATCGCTTGAGCCCCCAGGAGTTTGAGACCAGCCTGGGCAACATAGTACAACCCTATCTCTACAAAATATATAAGAAATTAGCCAGGCATGGTGGCACATGCCTGTAGTCCCAGCCACTCTGGAGGCTGAGGCAGAAGGGTCACTTGAACCCGGGAAGTCGAGGCTGCAGTAAGCTGTGACCACACCATTACACTTCAGCCTAGGGGACACAGCAAGACTGTGTCTCAAAAATATATATGTACATATATTTTATATTTTTATATATATATAATATATATATATATAAAGATATAGAGATATATATATTTATACTTTTAACATTTCCTTTGTCAACCATGATCTCATTCCTTCTGGGGATGGAAATGAGTTGGGGTATTCTTTCAGAAAGGGCAGGTCTTGGGGAGTCCCTAAACGCCAGTCTAGATGAAGGCTTCCTCCTGAAGGCACCCAGCTGGGATGTCCATTAAGGAGTCTGGGTTGCTCCAGGCATAGCAAGTGGCATATAGTGAGTGTTTACCTGGAGGGACTCCTGAGAGTTGCCCATCGTGGGAGGCCCTGCCTGTCCTTAAAACGTAAAGTGGTGTTCACGGAGTTGATGCCTGCTTCCTTTCCTTGTGCCTCCTCACTCTGTTCTGGCAGATCCTCAGCAGGTGAAGCTTGCAGTGACCACATTGTAGCCTCACAAGCAGAGCTCTGATGGATCTGCTTTTGCCTCCGTATCCTATTTTCTTTTTCTTTTCCTTTTTCTTTTTTCTTTTTTTCTTTTTTTTTTTTTTTGAGAGAGAGTCTTGCTCAGTCAGTCGCCCAGCCTGGAGTGCAATGGTGTGATCTCGGCTCACTGCAACCTCCACCTCCCAGGTTCAAGTGATTCTCCTGTCTCAGCCTCCCAAGCAGCTGAGACCATAGGCGCACACCACCATACCTGGCTAATTTTTGTATTTTTAGTAGAGATGGGGTGTCACCATTTTGGCCAGGCTGGTCTCGAACTCCTGACCTCGTGATCCACCCGCCTTGGCCTCCCAAAGTGCTGGGATTACAGGCGTGAGCCACCACGCCCGACTCCTATTTTCTTTAGAATAGCTAATGCCAACTGTCCCTGGTACAAACAGACAAGCAGTCACTTGGCCAGGTATACAGTAGCTGCCTGGGCTACCTGTGTGTTGTTCTATTTTTTTTTTAAGTGGAGTTTCACTGTGTCACCCAGGCTGGAGTGCAGTGGTGCGATCTCACCTCACTGCAATCTCTGCTGCCTGGGTTCAAGCAATTCGTGTGCCTCAGCCTCCTGAGTAGCTGGGACTAAAGGTGTGTGCCACCTCACCTGGCTAATTTTTGTATTTTTGGTAGAGTTAGGGTTTCACCATGTTGGTCAGTCTGGTTTCAAACTCCTGACCTCAGGTGATCCGCCCACCTCGACCTCCCAAAGTGCTGGGATTACAGGCATGAGCCACCACACCCAGCCATGTGCATTGTTCTTTATGTGGCTCCGCCAGCCTCTCTTGCCTGTTAGAATGGCTCCTTAGCCACTCTTTCCTCAGCCACCACTCCTGACTTACCCTTGCTGCGCTCTGGCTGTTAGCGTCTCCCTTACCGATAAGCAGATCTCCATACCTGAGCGGTGCCTGGGACTGCAAGCATCTGTTCCCTGTGCTCAGGGTGTGCATAAACAAATGGATGAGAAGCCTCTGTTTTGGTTTCTCCAGCCCAAGAGTTTTTGTTTTGTGAGCTCTCTTGTTAAACATAGTGGTCATCAGCAGTTCTTCAGCTTCTTTCTGATTTCTCCTATTCTTTTTGTGCACCAGGTTGTGGAGGAACCCGAGTGCAGGACAACAGCCTGCCTATTCTGTCTGGCTCATCTTTTCAGTTGACTTATACTCTTCCTGCTGTGGTCTGGCTTCTGCCACTTAACTGCCCTGCTGTCTGTCTCACTGAGCTTCGGTCCCCTGCCCTGGATTGAGCGTGTCCTCTTGTCTGTGGGGCAGAGATGACATGGAATGGGAAACAACTGTTGGGTCTCACCAGAGACCAAGGGAAAGGGGTCACCTGCTCTGTGCCCTCCTTTGGGGAGGAACTGTGTGTTTGCATTCCCAGGGGACTTTACACTTTGTCACTTCTCAGTGGCTTTATGTTCCTGAAGGAATGAGGTTTTATCATGTATTGTGATTGAATCCAGAGCATATTAAGTTGATAATCCAGATGGTTCTCTCCACAGCTTTTCTCAAGTAAGGGGTTGCTTCTTGGGCTTCTCTCACTGATGTGTTCCAGCACAGCACAGTCAACAATTCAAGGGCTTGTTGGCCCTCCCTTTTAAGGCAGTCTCTTGGGAGACTGGGGTTGGGTTTTCTGCTATAAACTGATTAGCGTTTAGCCTGGGGTGTGGAGGTCACCTTCTAATTCTGGCTCTTAAGGCAAGGAGTGTAGGAGCCAAGTTCCTTAGTTGAGAGTATTGGGAACAGGAGGATCCTTAAATAACAGATGCTCAGAGCCACAGGCAGCCAGGCACCAGGGCAGCAAGTGGCCTGGATCATTTGCACAGTGCTCGCAAGCTCAAGGCGTCTCGGTTAGAGGAGGTGCAGCCTGCTCTGACCAGTCAGGTCCTGGGAATAATTGTCTTTGCACCTGAATTACGGCCTTGTATTGTACGCAAGTATAGATGTAACTGCCCTTTTACTTTTTGTAGGATATGGAACTTGGAACTCTGGGACAAATAGAGGCAAGTGTCATTCCTGCGATCACTGTCCTGTCCCTTGGGGTGGTTCTGGCTATGTTTCTCAGCTGCAGCCCCGCTTGACCAAGGTTGGGAGTGGGGAGGGGGCGTGTTTCTGGGGTTACCTACTCCTTAACAGGAGGCGCTCATCAGAATGGCCAGGGCCCCTCCAGCCTCAGTGGCTAGGGTCTTCTCTCTCTGTGACAGAAGATACCCTTGTATCTGTGTTTGTCTCTGTCTCTGCCTGCCTGCCCCCACCATCTGTCTGTCTCTGTCTCCCTCACTGCAGGCTACGAGGGCTATGGCTATGGCTATGGCTATGGCCAGGATAACACCACCAACTATGGGTATGGTATGGCCACTTCACACTCTTGGGAAATGCCTAGCTCTGACACAAATGCAAACACTAGTGCCTCGGGTAGCGCCAGTGCCGATTCCGTTTTATCCAGAATTAACCAGCGCTTAGATATGGTGCCGCATTTGGAGACAGACATGATGCAAGGAGGCGTGTACAGCTCAGGTGGAGAAAGGTGAGTGGACACTTGCCTAGGGGCTGAGGCTCTGCAGGGGTGGCTCCTGCCTGCTGCCCACTGCGTCTTCCTTTCTGAGTGCGCCTCTGTGTCTGCTTCCTCCCCGCTGCTTGGTGCTGCTGTGGCTCCCAGCGGGGTCCGTCGCACTTCCCGTCTCTGACTTGTGTCTCCTCTCACCCACCCTCAACCCCTGCCGCACTACCTAGTGGTCAGCCTTTCCCCAGCTTGGAGTGGGAGGAACAAGCCCAGATTGGGCTGCCTTCACGGTGCCCTCAAAAACAGAGTGTTCGGTTGCCCCTCCCTCCAAGGACAGCCATTTGGAAGGAATTCTCTCGAGACTTTGTGTCCTGCTTGGTGTCAGGGCAGGACAGATGGAGTTTGGTGTGAAGGGTGGGACGAGCGTTTGGGGCTGATCACTGTGAGCTGGGCCACCCCCACGTAAGGGTCGGGGCAGGTGTGGGCATTTCCTGGTTACTCTCCTGTGCCTTACAAACGTGTACCTGTTGGAAGCACTCTTGTGAGGAACTGCTGCTGTCCTCATTTTGCAGGTGGGGATACAGAAGTGCAGGCAGGTCATACCCCGAAGGCACGCAGCAAGTACGTGGTGGGGCTGGGCCTTGCCTACCAGATCTGCCCTACTCCAGAGCATCATGCTGTGGGCGTTTGTCATTAACTGAACTGGACTTGGCCCAGGAGTGCTTGTGCCCAGTGCAAGGCTTCGGTGAGGAGGGCGGGTGTATCTTTAGCACAGGATAGAGTGGAGTTCCAGCTAACAGATGAGTGAGAGCCAAGAGTAAGGAGTCGCCTGGCTGAGCACTGGTAGGGCCAAGTGAGGCCCCAGGGCTGTGGTGGCAGGGTGTGGGACAGGCACAAGGGGACTTGATGCCATGGGCTCTGTAACTCCTGGCCCAACAGCTGCAGCACTCAGAGCTGAGGGCTTGGCACGTGAGGCTTGGGCTTGCATTGCTGCTGTGCACCTTCTTACCACAGCCTGGAGCCTGGGATGGGGGTAAGCAGAGCAGTGGCAGCACCAACTGCTGCTCTTAGAGCTGCCAGTGCCTGTTGGTGGCCCAGGTTTAGGGAAGAGTGTGCAAGGGGAGCCCTTGTGCCTGTGAGGTGTGTGGGGTCCAGGCCTGTGGGGGCGTAGGCTTCGGGCTGCAGTCATGGTTAAAAGAGCTCTCTGCGGTGCCCTCTGTGTCCTGGGAGGAGGTCTGGCCTGCCTTCCCAGTTGCAATATAGGGTATGTAGAGTTTGGTGTCTGGCTCTAGGCTCCAGATCATGTAATACAGCTTTTTCTTGTCCCTGGGCAAGCTCTCAGTGTCTTTCCTGGGAAATACTCCCCCTTTTGTCTCAGTTGTTTTGGTAATGAGGGACTTTGCAGAGTTTGAAGGTTCCCCAGCCATGAGGGACAAGAACGGTGTTTCCCATGGGTGTCATCAGCCTCACTGGCTGCGCATTCATTGTGCTGGACCTGCCTGCAGCCTGCAGGGTTCTGGGGTGCTCAGCCTTGCCCCATGAGGAGCAGCCTTGGGCGTTGCGACTCCCACAGATGGTGCACATGTTCCCGAAGGGCTGTGGAGCAGCTCTGCCCCTCGTTGAGACTCACTGGACTAGAGCCTCCACCCCAGTTGTCGGTCCTCCTTAGGGTCCCCAAGCCAGTGTGTGGCTACATTCAAGTTTGGGGCAGTGGTGCCCCTACATCAGCTGAGAGGCTGGAACTTTTTAATTGGCATTTCTGAACATTGAGCCTCCCCACCAGGGCAGGGTGGGTGCTGGACTGGGAGATTGTGGGGAGGGCAGGAGCAGTCGCCTGGAGGTGAGGGATCCTGAGGGACTCTACCTGATACTCACTCCATGCCTCTGCAGGTATGACTCCTATGAGTCCTGTGACTCAAGGGCCGTCCTGAGTGAGCGCGACCTGTACCGGTCAGGCTATGACTACAGCGAGCTTGACCCTGAGATGGAAATGGCCTATGAGGGCCAATACGATGCCTACCGCGACCAGTTCCGCATGCGTGGCAACGACACCTTCGGTCCCAGGGCGCAGGGCTGGGCCCGGGATGCCCGGAGCGGCCGGCCGATGGCCTCAGGCTATGGGCGCATGTGGGAAGACCCCATGGGGGCCCGGGGCCAGTGCATGTCTGGTGCCTCTCGGCTGCCCTCCCTCTTCTCCCAGAACATCATCCCCGAGTATGGCATGTTCCAGGGCATGCGAGGCGGGGGTGCCTTCCCAGGCGGCTCCCGCTTTGGCTTCGGGTTTGGCAATGGCATGAAGCAGATGAGGCGGACCTGGAAGACTTGGACCACAGCCGACTTCCGGGTGAGTGGAGGTGGCCTTCCCCTCTGGGAAGCTTAGTTCCCACTGGGGCAGAGCTAAAGGCCGGGAGCCACGCACCCTGACGCACCTTCCCCCGCTTATGACCCAGACCAAGAAGAAGAAGAGAAAACAGAGCGGCAGTCCTGATGAGCCGGATAGCAAAGCCACCCGCACGGACTGCTCGGACAACAGTGACTCAGACAATGGTGAGCTAGCTGGGTGGTACTGGGTGGCTACCCTCTGCCTCCGGGGGCTCCTGGGCTGAGCTTTACCTTCTTTTCTCTTTCAGATGAGGGCACCGAGGGGGAAGCCACAGAGGGCCTTGAAGGCACCGAGGCTGTGGAGAAGGGCTCCAGAGTGGTAAGTGGCTCTGGCTGGGCATTTTCTGTCTGCAGGAGGGGCAAGCTGGCCTGAAGAGTGGTGCTGTCCCTGGGGGCCAGAGGCAGTGCTGTGTCAGCTCTGTGTGCATGGTGACCAGCATGGGGAGGCAATGTGGTCTGGCAGAAAGCACAGGCTGCCTAGCTGGAGGCACAGTTTCTTTGTTGGAAAATGGGACCAGCCCCCTGTGCACCAGGTAGTGAGAGGATGTGAGGTTTCTGGCACGTAGCCGGGCCTTGTCATTTAAAGCCATTGTAAATAACTGGGCTACTCTGGGCCACCCTGCTTATGGGATAGCCCTGCTCTGTCTATGGAGCAAGCAGCTGTTTTACTATATACCGTTGCTCTAATAAACTTGGTTGCTTTAAAAAAAAAAACCTGTTTTAAAGTTGGAATTTGAAATTGTTAGGATGGAGAGGACGAGGAGGGAAAAGAGGATGGGAGAGAAGAAGGCAAAGAGGATTCAGAGAAGGGTGAGTTTTCCTGGGGTGCCTGGTGCTAGGGCGGCTCTTCCAGGGGCTCACAGTGGGAGGGACCCAGCTGAGGGCAGGGTTGTGGAAGACAATGCAGCCAGTTGGGGACCTCCCTTGTGGGCCCGGGTGTATGCTGGCAGGGGGCTTTCTTTTGCCACCTCCACCCCCTTCCCACTCTTCCTCCTCCTTCCCAGGCGGAGGCCGTGGATGGTGGTGACCCCTGCCTAGCACATTGGTTTTGCCTTCAGATGGGGGCAGCGAGTAAAAGTGTGGGGAACCCCAGGCACACCCCCTGCCCTCGGTCCCTCAGTAACGCGCAGTTCCGAGTCCTCAGTGGCTGGTGTCCGATCTGGGACCCTCGGTGCAGTTTTTACGGCTCTGGTGTGCGTGTCCTCTCCCTTAGCGCCTCTCCAGCCCCTGTTTGGGATTCCGTGTCCCCCCACCTGAGTGATGAGCGCCAGCAGGTACCTAACAGCAAATCCAGCGTCAGCCCACTGTTGCCGCGGTGCCCGGTTGGGGGTGGGCAGGGCCATGTGAGCAGCCTCCCTGCATCCCACCACCTATGAACATATGCCAGTGTCCCCACCAAGATACCCCCTCTTTGCTTTCCAGCCTTCTCCTGGCCTACTGCACAAAGAGCATGGGTATCCTGGAGAGTGGACGGGTCAGCACCTGGCCGCCACTCCTTGGGGCCTAGACCAAACCCACTCCCTGCACAGCCCAGGATACCCAGCCCTGCTCATGGCCAGAGGCCTTGCTTGGACAGCTATTCTCGATGGATCCGCTGGAGTGGACAGCGGGTGATTCAACCAGAGGCCACAGGGCCTGCCCTGTCCTGGCAGAGCCAAATTGGTGACAATGCCCATCTGCTCCCACAGGGGCCCTGACCACTCAGGATGAGAATGGCCAGACCAAGCGCAAGTTACAGGCAGGCAAGAAGAGTCAGGACAAGCAGAAAAAGCGGCAGCGAGACCGCATGGTGGAAAGGTAACCGGCTTCCCTCCACCCCTCTGCCTCTGCCTCGCTGTGGGGCTGCCGCCAGGAGAGCAGGGCCATAGCTCTGCCAGCTCGCCGCCCTCTGGCCTCCCCTGGGAGCCGCCACCTGCTCGGCCGTGCATGGACCCTGCTTCCCGCCAGGCCCAGCTCCCAAGGCCTGACTCATCCCCTGCCCCTCTGCGGCCGCCTGGCGACCGCTGGCGTCTGTGGGCCGAGACCTGACACCGCTCGGCACCGTTGCTCAGAAGCTCCGGCGCTAGGTCACTCGGCGCACGAACCCCAAGGTGCACTGGGGGCCTGATGCCCCTGAGGGAGGGGGCCAGCTCATCAGAGACTCAAGGTCCAAGGCGCCTGTGCCGCCCCAGCTAGCTGCCAAGAGGCCACCGCCGTGCCCAGGAGAGATGGCAGCACCTGTGGGCTGTGGCAGCCTCGGGCCTGCCCTCTGCCCTGCCCGCCGGCCCTGTCAGGCCGGGCCTGTCTGCGGCTGAGCCCTTCACGCCCCTTGGTCGGGTCTGTCTGCCCTCAGGGCTCCCGCACTGGCGCTTGCCTCCTCCGCCTCAGACTCTTGCTCTTGCTGGACCTTCCTCAGCCTCGCCGGCGCCCGGCCCCTGGGCTCTCCAGACAAAGCTGACCCCGTGGCCCAGATAAGGACGTCCGGCAGAGGTAGGGACCCGCCCCGAGGTCTCGGTGGCGGCTGGCCTCCTCCGCCCCTTGCCACGGCGGCCTGCTCCGGCCCAGGCCCCAGACCCCGGGCTTCTACTGTGGACACCAGGCCCAGACAGAGCACCTCGCCCAGGTGACTCCAGGCTGCCCTCTGGCAGGCCGGGCGGGCGCCCTCCTTCCAGCTCAGACTGGTCTCTTCTTGGAAGAGGAAGATGAGGCAGCAGGTGCCCAGGCCTGCTGCCTCCCATCCCTCCCGACACCACCCCCAAGCATTCTGAGCAGAGGATGGGCTGGGCCTTTGAGTCCCCCAGATCCCAGAAGGAAGATGCAGCACCTTTTCGGGCCCTGCCTCGGGACTGCGTACTCCACTCTGCACCTCAGGGCCACCTGGCTCACGCCAGGGCATCCTTCCTTCCGGTCCCCACCTGGGCCAAGTGCACACGCTCCTGCCCAGCCTTGGTAGCGAGGCCCTCCAGCAACTTTCCAGCGACTCGTTGCCTGTTGCAGCAGCTGCTGTCTCAGGCTTCAGCCTCCTGCCTGTGGGAAGGAAGAGCTCCTCCCCTGTCCCCTACGTTGCAGTAACTGCAGCCTGCAGACTTTCTGGCCCTTTCTACTCCCGACCCCACTGGTCCCAGCCTGTCCCTCTGCTGGGACCGTACTTCAGAGGCCCATGAGCAAGGCCTGTTTCAGGGCTTGTGTCTGGGTTGGGTGAGGCGGCAGCACTATCCCCTGGGACACTTGCAGCCTCAGCCCCTCGTTTCCTTCCTGTGGCAGGATCCAGTTTGTGTGTTCTCTCTGCAAATACCGGACCTTCTATGAGGATGAGATGGCCAGCCATCTTGACAGCAAGTTCCACAAGGAACACTTCAAGTACGTAGGCACCAAGCTCCCTAAGCAGACGGCTGACTTTCTGCAGGTGAGCCTTGGAGTAACACAGCCGCTCTTAGTTTCTTGGACCCCTGAGAACATAAAGCGGCCCACACGAACTTTCATATTCCTTGCAGGAGTACGTCACCAACAAGACCAAGAAGACAGAGGAGCTCCGAAAAACTGTAGAGGACCTTGATGGCCTCATCCAGCAAATCTACAGAGACCAGGATCTGACCCAGGGTGAGGAGATTTCCAGCCCGCTCCCACCAGGCGAGGCCTCAGCCTGCCTTCCTGATTCTCAGTGCAGGGTCAGGACACCCTTCTGTTCTCCCAGGGAAGGTCAGGAGAACAGCCTCGGCTCAGGCCCAGGTGGAAGTGGCAGGGCAAGTTGAGGAGGAGCTGGTGTGGTTTTTTTCCTCAAACACCTGGGTCTATCTTAGGCACCTGGGCCCAGTGGTGACTCCCTCCTCCCCACTACAGAAATTGCCATGGAGCATTTTGTGAAGAAGGTAGAGGCAGCCCATTGTGCAGCCTGCGACCTCTTCATTCCCATGCAGTTTGGGATCATCCAGAAGCACCTGAAGACCATGGATCACAACCGGAACCGCAGGGTGAGTGGCCACAGTGCTCTCCCTCTGTCCTGTGGGTAGATTGAGGCCTCTGGGGAGGTTGTGCAGTTAGAACCTCTGTCTACCCGTGAGGGACTGCAGTGGAGGCAGGAGGAAGTGAATGACGTTTCCAGCCCAGTGCAGGCAGCACGGCTACAGAGAGAGGGTGGGAGACGGGGACTCTGCCTGGGAGAAGGTGACGTATTCTGTGGGATATGGGGGCCTCTATGTTCATAAGGCCAGCGCCAGATGAGGTTCAGAAACCAGATGGAGATGATGCAGTGCAAGTGTTGCTGGAGGAGGAGGGGGTTGGGCTCGAGGCTCAGGAGACCTGTGCTGAGAGGCCTGGGCTTGTTCCTGTAGGCAGTCAAGTTTTAAGTATGGGATTAACAGGATTAGAGTTGGTGTTGAACTAGAGACTTCAGGCCTGCACCTAGCTGGGGTGGTAGGGGCCAAGGAGGAGCTGCTGCAGTCTCCAGACGAGAGGGGACCCCACCTTGGGAGTGAAGGGGAGAAGAGCAGTTGAAGGAAGGGAGCCGGAGGCTGGCATGTGGGAGTGAGCAGGAGCCTGGGGTGACTCTGGTTTCTAACTTGGGGAACTGAGAGGACAGTGGTGCTGCTGAGATTGTCAGGGAGCAGGGAGCTGTGGGGAAGTGTGTTGTGGGGCATGGAGAACATAAGGCAAGAGAATGAGCAAATTCTGTCTCATTTTCCAGCGTAGCTCCAGTGCCTAGCACAGAGGCCAAAGTAGGTCTATTTTGATTGAATGGATGACGTGCTGGGTTGGAGGTGGGGGTGAAGGGGCTGTGTATCGGCGGACAGCAAAGAGGCCCGGGACCAGGTCTGGGCCAAAGAGGTGCTTGGCTGTCTTCACCCTGGAGGAGGGTGGTGGGGTTTATGAACAGATGTTAGCATCCAGCGTGAGCATGGGAAGCAGCATTTCTCCACCTTTTCCCATGCTCATCACAATGCCCCTCTGGTCTTTTTCGATAGGATGATTCTGAATGGTGGACAGTGTCAGGGGTCTCTCTGGCTTGGGTGGTTGCAGAGACTCAGGATTGGGAAATGCCACCAAGAGTTCTGGGAAGAAAAGGAAAAGTGTGAATTGGCTTTGGCAACAGAAGCTTTAGGGAACTTGCCAAAAACAGATTCTTGTGCTAGGAACTCGTAGGAGTTAGAAGACTGCAGAGTCTGGAAACTACATGTCATTAATAAAAGTTGGAAAATCCGGCTGGGCGTGGTGGCTCACGCGTGTAATCCCAGCACTTTGGGAGGCCAAGGTGGACAGATCACGAGGTCAAGAGATGGAGATCTTCCTAGCCAACATGGTGAAACCCCATCTGTACTAAAAATACAAAAATTAGCTGGGCGTGATGGCGGGCAACTGTAATCCTAGCTACTCAGGAGGCTGACGCAGAAGAATCACTTGAACCCAGGAGGCAGAGGTTGCAGTGAGCCAAGATTGTGCCAGTGCACTCTAGCCTGGTGACAGAGCGAGACTCATCACAAAAAAAAAAAAAAAAACGCCGGACGCAGTAGCTTCTACCTGTAATCCCAGGGCTTTGGGAGGCCGAGGCGGGCAGATCTCGAGGTCAGGAGATCGAGACCATCCTGGCTAACACAGTGAAACCCCGTCTCTACTAAAAATACAAAAAAATTAGCCGGGTGTGGTGGCGGGCGCCTGTAGTCCCAGCTGCTCGGGAGGCTGAGGTGGGAGAATGGTGTGAACCCAGGAGACAGAGCTTACAGTAAGCCGAGATCGTGTCACTGCACTTCAGCCTGGGAGACAGAGCGAGACTCTGTCTCAAAAAAAAAGTTGGAAAATACAGGGCAGGTGATAGCAAAATATAAGCTCAAAATTGATCCTAGGGCTGGGCGTGGTGGCTCGCGCCTGTAATCCCAGCACTGTGGGAGGCCGAGGCAGGTGGATCTTGAGGTCAGGAGATCCAGACCATCTTGGCTAACACAGTGAAACCCCGTCTCTACTAAAAATACAAAAAATTAGCCGGGCGTGGTGGCGGCGCCTGTAGTCCCAGCTACTCGGAAGGCTGAGGCAGGAGAATGGCGTGAACCGGCGAGGCGGAGCTTCCTGTGAGCTGAGATCGCACCACTGCACTCCAGCCTGGGCGACAGAGTGAGACTCTGTCTCAAAAAATAAATAAATAAAAATAAAAACATAAAATAATATTAGTTCTAATAGTTTTTAGTGTATTTCTTTTTTTGTTTGTTTGTTTGTTTTTGTTTTTTTGAGACAGAGTCTCGCTCTGTTGCCCAGGCTGGAGTGCGTGATCTTGGCTCACTGCAAGCTGCGCCTCCTGGGTCCACGCCATTCTCCTGCCTCAGCCTCCCGAGTAGCTGGGTCTACAGGCGCCCGCCACCACGCCCTGCTAGTTGTTTTGTATTTTTAGTAGAGACCGGGTTTCACCATGTTAGCTAGGATGGTCTCAATCTCCTGCTGGTGATCCGCCCGCCTCAGCCTCCCAAAGTGCTGGGATTACAGGTGTGAGCCACCATGTCCAACCTAGTTTTTAGTGGATTTCTTAGGGGTTTCTTTGTACAACATCAGTCATCTGCAAATAGAGTTCATTTTACTTGTCCTTTCCAATCTAGATTCATTTTATTTCTTTTTCTTACCTAATTGCCCTGGTTAGAACCTCCAATACAGTATTGAAAAGAAGTGGTGAGAATGGATGTCCTCGTCTTCTTTCTAATCTTACAGGGAAAGCACTAGTCTTTACCATTAAGTGTGATGTCAGCTGTGGGTTTTTCATAGGTACCCTTGACTGAGTTGAGGAAGTTCCATTCTAGTCCTGTTTTATTAAGTGTTTTATCTTAAAATGGTGTTGGACTTTGTCAGATGCTTTTTCTGCCTCTGTTGAGGTGATCATGTGACTTTTGTCTCTAATTCTGTTGTTACAGTATGTTACATTCTTTTATTTGGATATAAAACTTCCTTGCATCTCTGGGATATATCCTGCTTGGCCATAGTGTGCAATTATGTTTATATATTAGATTGGTTTTGCTGGCATTTTGTTGAGAATTTTTGCATCTATATTTATGAAAGATAATAGTCTGTAGTGTTTTAGTGACATGGTTTGGGTATCAGGTTAATTAATACTGGCTTCATACAGTTAGTTGTCATTTTTCTTCCTGTTTTGGTTTCTTGGAAGAGTTTGTGAAGAACTAGTATACTAGTATTAATTCTTCAAGTGCTTGGGAGAATTTGCCTGTGAAGCCATCTAGGCCTGGCTTTTCTTTAACTACCTTTTTTTTTTTTTTTTTTTTTTTTTT